AAATGAGACCATAGAATTTATAACGTCAGATTTCATTTTTATTCTTTGTCTTTGCTGAAAAGAAATCTACAACAATGCATGATTACTAATATATTTTAGTTCACCAGTGCTTAGTTTTGCCTTTTTTGTGAACGTTTAGACTTGTATTTATATACAAGAGTCTACTTAGTGTGGTGTCGGAGTGGGGGGTGATGTGATGGAGAGGGGAATAGGTCTGCTGCGTGTGTAGTTGCCGCGTGCCTGTTGTTGATCATCCTGTCTGAGTGTAGGAGGCCCGTGGGCCTTCCTGGCGGGATTGAGGCCTCAGGGCCGTCCACACAGGAAGTTCTCCCTGATTGCTGACAAGCACACTTCCTGCTGGTGCCCACACCCACTCCTGCAGGGGGTGCAGAGAGGGTCTGCAAGTATGGCCATTCCATTCAATTGCCACCAACCTTGTTTTTCTATCAATTTCTATCACTTTTGTGCAAATTAAGCCCAGGTACTGTTAATTGTGAAAGCAATTAGCTTGTTTGCCCTGCCCGTGGATAGAGAGCTTGATGGGTAGCTTGCTTACCTGGTCTGAAGTGGTGAAATTAGGCCAGAGAAGGCTGAGGTGGACTGTTAGGCTCTTGTGGGATGGGTCAGCACTCACGTGAGGTCAGCCGGCCACCAAGGTCCTTAATTAGGTTGAATTGGTGTAAATGAGCTACATACTTCATCCAAGGGGACAAGGGATGGGAAAGGGGATAGGGGTCCTTTTCAAACTCCAGGGAAGCTTTAGGGATTTTGAGAGGGGAGATACAAAAAGACAACCAGTGATGAAAATGGAGTTTGGTGAAATATTTTCTGCTGGTAAGCTTTTTTTTTTTTTAATTTTTTTTAATTTTTTAAAGTTTACCTTTTGTGCTCTTGAGTACATAGCTACAAAGTGTTACTGTTTTGAATTGGTCAGTGCTGTGAAGTTGGAGTTAAAGTCTTGTCAGTGTTTACATTTCAGTTGCATTTTAATCTGGGAATAAGAGTTTAAGTCTTCACTGGTTAAATCTAGCTGTTCTAAAATGCTGACTGACTCTGGGGCGCCTGGATGGCTCAGTGGGTTAAAGCCTCTGCCTTTGGCTCAGGTCATGGTCTCAGGGTCCTGGGATCCAGCCCTGCATCAGGCTCTCTGCTCAGCAGGGAGCCTGCTTCCTCATCTCTGCCTGCTTGTGATCTCTGTCTGTCAAATAAATAAATAGAATCTTAAAAAAAAAAGTTTAAAATGCTGACTCTGGTGTTCAGCTGTAATGTGCTGTTGCTTTCAAAAATTTTTTTTGCCTCAGAATTCTTTTTTTAGTAAAAATATAAGGTGGAATTTCAAACTAACCTTTTAAAAGCTGACTTTGTTAAATACACACACAAGCTGACTGTGTGCTCTTTAAATTAAGGGCACCTTTGTCTTTCTAAAAAAAAAAAAAAATATATATATATATATATATATATATATATATAGTCACCAATGGTATTAAGTGTCCCATTTCAGAGAAATCGAATTTAATATTGAGATTGTGGGAAGGATGAGCACAGCTAAATGAAATAATACAAATAACACATTTAGGACATGGATAGTTCAGGCGTACGATGTGGAGTACTGTCTGAGGGCTCTGGCTTTGGTGTCCAACAGACCTGGGTTTGATTCCAGCTCTGTCCTCTTGAATGTGTGACCGTGGCATATTACTGAGCCTCTTTTGAGATTCAGTTTCTTCCTCTGCAGAATGGGAAAACAATGATCTATCTACCTCATTGGATTAGGAAGGATAACGCACGTAACGCACTTAGCCCCGTGGCATATAGTAAACATGGAGTATATGGCAGTAATAATACTCAAATCATTGTGATTATCATTCATCCACTCTGAACATGTAGAAATAAACAGCTTAATTATGTTTGAGTTTTCTTCTTTAAACACGTGTTCATTCTTTTATTAGGAATTAAATTGTTTATTTCAATGAGTTTTACAAACCTAGTGTTTGATCTAAAATTTTCTACAGCAGGAACTAGGCAACCTAGAATAAGCTGTCTTTAGCTAGCTCTGAGAAATAGTTGATGCTTGGATAACATTTTTATTTGAATTTATTCTGTATAGAATTCAGCAGAGGCCAGTCTTCCTCCTCAGGGCACATTCAGCGCCCCTCCTCATTTCCCACCTGGGATTAGAACGTTGGGAGACTTTTTTCCACCATAGGGCAGAATAGAGGGGAAGCAGGGAAAGGCTGTATATGCCCCACACCTACTTCCCAGAGTGAGAAAATATTACTGTAATAAATATAGAGGCCTGTCAAAGATATATTAAATCAGCTATGTAAATTCTGAGATGTAAATCATGGTTCTGCTTTTGCCAAAAATAAATACATAAATAAAAACCTACTCCTTTCATGTCCAAATAATCTCTCAATAAATCATACCCCCAAATGTTTCTTTTAATCCTACAAGTCCACACCTGGCATCCACTTTTTACTCCAGAGAAGAGGTTAGAGAGCTGTGCAAACTTGGAATGCAGTCTTTAAACCATCTGATGGTTCATTTGCTTCACATTGTTGGTCTAATGCTACTTAGAGGAGGGGATGGAGGGGGTCCCCGGCTTCTTTCAGGCTTCTCCAGGGCTTATCCCTGGAGGTGACCCTGTTCCATCCCCCAACAGCTGCACTGAACATATGGGGTCCTACTTTGAGGAACTGTGGTTTGTAGCAAAGACAGGTTCTCTAACATTAATCAAAGATTTATTTAAGAAAAAATTCATCCTTGCCTAGATATAAGTTCTTTGTGTAAATCAAAGGCTTGGGATGGGGGATCAGATGTGTGTGTTACTTTCCAGCACCTCTGTTCTAAGCTGAAGTGACAAATGGGATGCCTGGCTTAATTGCAAGGAGCAGCTAGCACAGTTGGTGTGGAGTGATTCTGGAGAAGGAACACAGGCCTTTGTGTGGTATGGCTGGGGGATCTGAGGGGCTACCTGTGGCGGAGGAAGGAACAATGCTTACTCTTCCTTTTACTTCTAGAAAGCAGAGTCTTTATCCCCTAGAGAAAAACTGGTGATGAGACCAAAGGATATGAGTTCAAAAGCTTATTAAGGGCATAACTCAAATAGATTTGATAGGATATGATCTCAGCTAAGTTTTTTCTTGGATTAAGCAATACGGTTATTCCCAGTTCAGTTCAGTCTTCATTTATACATTGATTATTGTTAACTCTTTTTGCTACTCTCCTTCTAAGAGAGAATCACTTGAGATAAAGTGATGTTTGGGCTCAGTAAGCTTAGCAAGGATCATGGGCGGTGAGAAGAATAAAATACGTAGTAGGGGCCCCTCTGTGGCTCAGTAGGTTGAACGGTCTGCTCTTGGGTCTCAGCTCAGGTCTTGATCTCAGGGTTATGAGTTCAAGCCGCACACTGGGCCCTTCAGAGGATCTGTATTTCTGTTCTGTGGTAGAGATCATATGGCCTGTGAACAGTGCTACATTAAATAAAAAATACATAGTACAGAAAAGAAGTAATGGTTACGCATGTAGATTAGTGAGGATCCCAGTGTAGTCGGGGATCCTGTGGAGCTGGGATGGTCGCGGCAGAGCCTGGGCACAGAGTCAGGTCTCCACAGTGAGTAGCTGAGCTTGCTGGCGATGTAGGCAGGGTTACATTTATTGTAAGGAGTCTTCTGCTTTTTGAACTTTCCAGAGTGGAATTGAACTGCCCCTTAAATGTGTCTAAGAGTTTTATTTGTGGTTGTTAAAATCAAGCTGTTAGGCTTGCAAAAATTTTTTTTAATGTTAAGGGACAAATTTTATACTCTCATATTTTCAAACTGTTACTTAATATAAGTGAAGTCCTTAGGTTAGTGTATTTATTATTTAGATGCGAGGTGAAAAAGATTTCTCTCCCGGTATGAAACTGCTGAGCATTTGCTTTGAGAGCAGTTCAGGGTGTACTCACTTCCATCTCAGACCGAACCATTTAACTTCCTCAAAAGTCATGTGTGTGGCGAAGGGCACAGGACTGTGGTTTCTTTCGATCGGTTAACAGGGAATTATCTGGTGTGAGTACAATTTCAGACATTCTTCCTAGGTGGCTGCTGACGGTGAAACCACACAGAGCCCTAGGTTCAAGCTTTAGAAAAGTTATGTTCCTTGCTGCAAGGCCCGGGAAGCTCTCCAACTCCCACACTATTCTCACAGGGGTTAAATTTCACAAGGTTGGCCAGCGCAAAAGGCAGCAAGCCTGTGAATCTTATCCAGAAGTCTCAATGGAGCCATGGGCCAGACTTAGAACGAGGTGAAGTCTGCCTTATTTGAGCATTGTGATGGAACTCAAACTTTGTTACACTCGAAGAGTAATCTTCTTTCCTTCCTCAGGAGTCTCAATAAAATTATCAGCAACTTTCAATCAAATGTTATTCAGAATTTGAAAACCTTTTCAAAAGTCTAGTGATTTCTAAATGACTGTATCGTAAAATGATATTATCACCTAACTTCATGCAAGTTAATTTTGAGTCTCAGTAGATGTGTTCCTTAAAAGGTGTGAATACGTTAATCTCACATAAATTAGCCCGATTTAAGGTTGCATGGAGAGAATACTTTACTGAATAAAATCCCATTATTAATTGCATGTTGAAGGAGAGGGCTTTTTCTGTAGAATGAGCAAGTCTTTTTTTTTTTTTTTAAGATTTTATTTATTTGACAGAGAGAGTGACAGCAAGAGAGGGAGTACAAGCAAGTCGAGTGGGAGTGGGGGAAGCAGGCTTCCCGCCGAGCAGGGAGTCAGCCCTACACGGGGCTCCATCCGGGGACTCCGGGATCACAGCCTGAGCTGAAGAAAGTCACTCAACCGACTGAGCCACCCAGGCGCCCTTTTAGGTTTAAATGAAAATGTGTCTATGAAAGTCGCTGAGGGGGATCTGTGTTTCTGTTCTGTGGTGGAGGTCATACGGTCTGTGAATGGTGCCACGCTTCTTGCAGCTGGTGTTCTAATGCTCCCCGTCTTTGTCTCTCAGCAGTCTCTGGTCCCAGCCCACCCCATGGCCCCTCCCAGCCCCAGCACCACCAGCAGTAATAACAACAGCAGCAGCAGTAGCAACTCAGGATGGGACCAGCTGAGCAAAACGAACCTCTATATCCGAGGGCTGCCTCCCAACACCACAGACCAGGACCTGGTGAAGCTGTGTCAGCCGTAAGTAGCTATTCTCCTTGGTTGTTTTCAGTCAACATATAGTTCTTTTATCCTCTGTCGTAGTCTAAAGGGATATCAGTTGTCGTACAACAGGCAGTTAGTGCAAGTGTGAACTCTCATTGCCGACAGGATGAGGATGACGGTCCACGTTTTCAGTCCTCGGACCCAGCATTAGCATCAACAGAATGCTTGTATGACAAAATAAATATGGGAACATCTTGGCAGAATTTGACTGTATTGGCATAGAAGAGGTAAAACGAGAATTTTTGCAGAACTTAACGGCTGGATCCTTTTTAGGACTGCTCATTTTTTTTTTCTGTGGTAGTGCCTCTGGGGGCCAGTCTGTCCCATAATAAGAGAAACTTTGGCTGTTACCATTTGTCTGAAAGGTAGTTACCATCCGACTGAATCTCAGACGTGTGTAAGCCTCTTAATGTTAGCCGGGAAGTAATATTGTCTTCACTAGCGCCAACAGCTTTGTGGTCTGGTTTGTTAACCCCCCTCTGTTGGGGAATTCTAATTTCCAAAATTCCTCTTTCTTTTCTCACCTCCACCCTCTCTGAGTCTTGTGAAGAAGTGTGTGCATGTGCATAAGGTTCCAAAGTAAATATGCATTATATGCTAATGTTGTTGAAGAACGGGCTATAAATATGTTACTTGGCAAATGACGTTAACTCACCAAGTAAAAAAGCACTAATGTAAATCAAGGCGCCAGAAGCACTAACTGTACATGGCAGGGACCATTGTGTAAAGATTAATCACTCTGAGCCCTAAAGGCCTCCACATCTAACAACAGCTTTTATGCATCCAAAGACAGTAATGGCCCCTACAAAAAAAAAAAAAAAGTTTTACATAACCGTGGAAGAAGATGTCCACTCAAGAATGTTTCCTAGTCCCTGAAAAATATTCCCCTTTGCCAACATCTGATGAATGGCATCTCCTTTCTGTTGTCCTGGGTAAAAATACAGATTTGTTACTTATATTTTAGGAAAAAGAATGTTTGAGAACTTGGGCGGTATTTCCAAATTGGAACTAAAAGGAACATCTGGCCTTCCATAAGGAGGTGGCGGTGGTTTTCCTTTGTTTTGTTTGTAGAGGGAAGGGTGGGGTGGTGGGTGGTGTTCTTTAGGGTCCGGAGAGTTCTTCTAAGGCCGCTGCTCTTAGCACTCTCCCTGTGCCTTTCCTGGGTTCCCCTTTTGATCAGCCTTCTCAGACTTTTTTTTTTTTTTTTAAGATTTTTTAATTTATTTATTTGACAGATGGAGATCACAAGTAGGCAGAGAAGCAGGCAGAGAGAGAGGAGGAAGCAGGCTCCCCGCTGAGCAGAGAGCCCGATGTAGGGCTCGATCCCAGGACTCTGGGATCATGACCTGAGCCGAAGGCAGAGGCTTTAACCCACTGAGCCACCCAGGTGCCCCAGCCTTCTCAGACTTTGACCGAAGCCCTTTGCCATCAGGCAGTCGGGTGCTAGGGACTATAGCTGAAAGCAAGTCTAGCCCTCGGGGTTTGTCATGCATGACCAGAGGCAGAGGGAACTGGGCCAGCCGTGCCCTGCCCTCTTGCAGCTGTTCAAGACCACAAATAGGCCTTCTGCTATCTTGTCTGCTGCTGGTCTTGACTGGTGTCTTCTTATGCCTTTGCAGCATAATTACAGGTAGATAGAACGCCATAAAGTCTAAGGAGCTAAAAATAAAACTGTAGGACACAAAAGAGTGAAGCTAACCCTCAAGTTCTTGAGGTGTAAGAGAAAGGAGAGAGGATTTCAAAAGACAAAGAGTTCCTCAGCTGGTTTTGAAGCATGTAAGGTGAGTTTGAACATCAAGGAGAACAGAGTTCAGTAACCATAAAATAATAAGAGTAATGCCATGTTCCAGGTTTAGTAAATGTGTACTTGAAAAGTGAAACTGATAATTTTCATTATTGAGTGAAATCATATTCCAAAGGAAGTCGAAGAGCATTTCATCACTTTTCCTAGAAAATTTACCGCTTTTTTGGTTCTCAGTCTCTTGAACGTATGTGGATTATCTTACTATGTCTCCGTGTGTTGCTGTTATCAATAGCAGCGATAAACGTTTGGCACTATCACTTTCCCAGTATCGGCAAAACCCCGGGTTTGATAACTCTGAAGGTGGTGCTCCTGATCTGCGTTATGTAGAGAGGGGACCGCAGCCATATCTGTTGAAAGCTTCATTCCATTTACCACAGAGCCTCTAGTAAGGACCAGTTTTGACTTGCTGGAATTCTGTGTCTTAGAATATAGAGAGAGGGAGAGGAAAAAAGGGCATTCCTGTTCTGGGCTTAATTGTTTCCAATAAAGACTACTAGTTGGTGATATGTACGTGACTCATCCTATGGGAAAAATGACTCATCCTACAGCCTAAAAAACCCAGTGGACATAATTAGAGATTTTTTAGAAAAATCGGTATCAAAACTGCTCAGAAAAGATAGGTGTAAATTCAGAAATCTGAAAAAGAAAAAAAATGTTTTTGAATTACAAATTTAGCGCTATAATTTCAAATCGACCCAGTGGGATGAATGGCAGGAGGAGCAACAATGGAAACAGATAACTTGGGTACCCCCCACCCTGGGGGGGTCTTGGTTATTTCAGAGGCTTGTCCAAAAGAAAGATGGGAAAAGATTCCTAAGAATGTTCGTAGTAGTGACCTACTTCCATACAAACAGTGCATGAGTCTAAGGCAAGAATGATAAAAGGGTTGTGAAAACTGGAGAGGAAAGCAAAAAATATTTTTAAAAAGCTATGTTTGGAGTTGAATATTCACATGCTGTGTTAGAAGAAATGGTGGTGAGTGAGAAAGCATCCTCACCCCAAGTCAGATAGAGACTCCTGACCCTGGAAGTACAGATCACCGTGGTTAAGGTCCCAGGACAAGGCTCCGGTTGGAGGGACCAGTTGCGTTCCTGGCTACCCACAGAGTCTAGGCTGGTCAAGAACCAGGTGGAGATGGGATAGTGGCCGCAATGGTAAGCTGATAGGGGTTGAAAGTAGATGCATTCTCTAGGAGGATTTAATGAGAGAAGCGGACGAGCTCTGGGAAACTTCTAAACTGTGGTGGGTGTGTGTAGGAAATGAGGTTGGAGCCTCATGACTGTTGGAGGCTGCTGTACCTTGGCTTCTGTTTCTGAGGAGTTTCCTGCTCAGAAAGTCCATCAGCACAGTTACTAGCAAGTTTAGGGAATGGAATGATCTGGGTAACAGGAAGGATTGATCTATTACCCCAGGACCTCAGACAGTTTGAATTTTCTCCCTTCTCTAATCTCCAGCCAAACAGATGACTTTGCTTGACTTTGGTACCATTTTATTTCTCTCTTTCAAACTTCTCAGGTAAATTTGCTGGACAGATGAGCCGAGGGCTCTTGTTGTTTCCACTTCCTTTGCCACCTTAACCCTTGGCATTTTGCCTTCAAGTTCTCACCTGAAACTGCGCTGGCATCTTCCATCCATCTTACCTTATTTGGTCCTTAACGTTGATGATAATGTTTCTGACGTGTTATGCGAAAGTGGGACATACAGCAGTCTTTTCTCTGGCTCTTTCCTACTCTTACCCATTCTCCTCAACTCTTTGCTCTTTGGATTCCAGTACTGGGCTCCTTCTTCTATAGCCTCATTTTCCTGTAAGACTCTTCTCTACTGTCCCCCATTTTCTACACATTTCCTAGTCTCCTTTTATCACCTCAAATTCAACATTGCCACCTTCCTCTCCAAAAGATGGTGTTTCTAAATTTAACTCTCACCTCACCTTGAAGCTTTGGAGCAGTGGTTGAGTATTTCCTGTCACCCTCTTAGTCCCCAAGTCCTGCAGATTCTGTGGCCTTTCTTCTTCCTTCTCACTGCCAGAAGAATTGGATGTTTTCTCCATTCCTCCCCACATTGTGAGAAGTGAGAACGATTTGCTCCCGCAGCTGCCTCACCCAGGCGCCTCCCCATTTCCCTCTCGATTCTTCAAGGCCAGTGCCAAGGCCAAACTCATCCTGCCTCCTCCATGCTTGGACCACACTAAATTCTCCTAGTTTCCTTTTCTGTGTCACCACCTCACAGTCAGCATCTTATTTTCATACAGTTCTGCTCTCCAGGTGCTTGTTCCACTGTCCCATGGTGTGTCTGTGATGGTATATAATGCTGGCAGTGCATCATCTTTTTTGTTTTAAGGCTATTTCTTTAAGTGAACTCTGCAGCCAATGTGGGACTCGAACTCATGATGCTGAGATCCAGAGTCCCATGCTTTACCGACTGAGCCAGCCAGGCGCCACCATGTTTCGTTTTCATAGATTTCTTACCTACTTTATGAGATCACGGTGGTCAGCATGGTAAATGTTTGGTACCCTAGACTTACCAACCACGGTGGTAGTTAAGGCTCCTTGTGTACTAATTCTCAGGAGCCTGTGAAATGGGTCAAAGAAGGTTTAAATCATGAAGTTGTGATTAGGATTAAATCAAGTTATTTGAGGAATGGAGCTGGTCTGCTGCCTAGAACACAGTCGTCATTGAACAAATATTAGTCTCCTTTGTGCCCGTGTCTTTGCTTCTCAAAACCCTAACTACTACAGTAAACTTAAATTATATGTAATCCTACATTTAAAACTATGGGAAGGGTGGGGGGACCAGATTCTGATTCTGAAAGCTGGGACAGCCAGGGAAGTGGGTTATGTTAACATAGCTACATAACTGTCCACCGTCTTCTTGAGGCTTTTTTCTTGCACTTGGAAAAGACTGGTTTTAGCTTCATGATTTATTTTTTTTGTCATAATAATGACTATAGCATGTAAGTTTTCCATTGTGTCCAAATTGTCCTTTCTGAAGATTTAAAAGCAATATCTGTATGTAAGGTTTGGTTCATCGTTTTTCCTGGTTTGCAGTAGGAGCAGATTATGTGTCTCTGTTGGCTATGGCGAAGTAGCTTAGAGGTTACTATGGTATTGAAATCTCATGGAAAAGTCTAGATTACTCCATTTATCAACAACTTATTTTGAAGCAGAGAGAG